GGTCTCTCACAGTATGTACGATTCAGAAGAGAGGCAAGCCGGTTACGTGTTGGTTAAGCGGCCCATGCTTTTTATTCCTGTGTTTTGCTTGGTTGGTGCAGTACCTGTGTTGAAGTTGAGTTGGGAGGTTTCGAGTGCTGTCCGTCAGCCGCCTGCCCACATGCCCAAACAGGCTTGATCCCTTCCCTGGCAACGGCACCGAGAGGAGGGTTATGTCTCGCTCAAATTTTACATATTCAGCTGACGTAGCTGCTTACTCACGCGGTGTCGGGCACCAGCAGTCGCTGCCGTAAGCACTCCTTCTCCGACCACTCAGCGAGACTGCGGTGCCCGGCTCGAGACGAGCTTGTCAGGACTCCAGTGCCGGCAATTGATGCCTTCAGAGAGGCACCTCACCGCCAGCAAGCCACTGGTATTGTGCCCTGTTTCTTCCATCAGCTTCCGCTCCGTTCTAAGTTTTGTGAGTGCTCAGGCTTTTCTGCTAAACTACATTACGTGCTTGCCCTCCATGCCCTCCAGTCATGTCCAGCCGTCCACTGAAAGCTATAGAGGACCATACGACCTGGTTGTCAGGTCCTGTACGGCCCGACAGGTCCTGAAGGTGTAGGATCATGCCTTTGCCATCCGGCCGTGGGGAGGCGATTGCTGTCAGTGGCACCTGGAAGCTCCACTCTCGCCACGTGATGTGGTGGGTGCACAGCGCAGCTAGGGCAAAAGCGGCTATTTCTCATTCCACACGAGAGGTTTCTCGGCTATCAAAGCTCGTAGCACCAGTGGCCCACGACACAGAGCGAACACCTGGCCTGGAACAATTCCGAGATGTGATCCAAGTGAGAACGACTTTTGCGGAGACAGCCTTCGGAACTTGGGGTTGCAAAGGACCAAGGGACTTCCAACTGGGGACTTCTCCTGCTCGGGACCTTTTAAGACTACTGGATGTGGCCAAAAGCACTTCATCGGCTATTGATCAGGCAAGATCCTGAATTTCTGGTGTACTAATCATGTAATGTGTTCACTTTCGTTATCACTTGTCGGTACCGAGCCTATGTAGCACTTTGTCCAGCTCTTGCATGCAAGACGTGCTATGACGGTGGCCCGGACTCTAGATCAGCACCTGAAGCCGCGAAGACCTACACATCCAGGGCTTCTAGATGCAGTATCATCGATTTGCAGTCTAATGGATGTTGGCTCATGGATTTTGAAAGATGTTTAAGGTTGTCGCATTACTTGGCCGAAGTTTTAGGATCTGCCAGCCGAAGCTCCGAAAGCCCAGGCTCCGGGCACCGCCCCCAAACCAAAAAAGAGCGAAAGCCCTCAGAAAACTGACAGGTCTAGGAACAGGCTTCGCAGCCTTCGCGTTACAGCCGACCCTGCAGCTTCGCTCAGCACTCCCCTGCTTGTCATCGGGCTTTTCAGTCTTCGGGCCCGCTTTCCTCCTTTTTCCATGGTGTCAGCTGCAAGAAAACTGCTTTAGGATTTCCCAGAATCTGTTGGGGACTCTCCAGAGAAAGCCTGCAAAAAGGAGATGAGCAGTCGATGTGTGCCAGCGGGACTTCTGCCGCGATTGGATCACACAGGGCCGAGACTTGTGTTTCACGTGCCCTAATTAACTTGGCAGCGTTCTGCAAATGCTCAGAGGCCTAGCTGCCCAGAGGTGTATCGCTGATTACAGCTCCCAGATCCTCCCTCGGTGCACATTCTACACCGAGCAACTCCTGATCTTGTATTATGTAGCTTTGCATTGTTCGAGAGCTGGGCCGCAATGCTTCTTTGCCAGTTCAACCTGCAACTGCTGGTACGTTTAGCGTTGTGGTGCTACTTCGCTATTTCTGTGTTTGGGCTCTGTCCCCGGCTTCTTGCAGTTTTGTCTTACTTTCAGCTGAGTTGTGTTCATCCAAATCCACATTTGTTTCGGCTCTCTTCTTCTGATCCGTGATTGTACCCCGCTAGCCTCAACGGAGACAACCGTAGGATTCCCGTGATGCTGTGCAGGACGTGTAGTTGCGTTATCACTTGAATCTCAGGGAAAACCCAGGGAAGAGGCAAGTCCAGTCTCCAGAGGAATACTGATGCCTTGCCTCATGTCCAGGCTCGCTCTCTCGACAGGCACAGACTCGACCAATTTGAGATTCGAGCCATGAAGATAAACATGAAGCAAGTGTGCCACAGGACCTTTGCATCCATTCATTCATGCAGGCTTGCAGACACTCCAGGACCAAACAAATCACAACGGTACCTGAGTTAGCGTTCCTACGTGCGCATGAACAACACATGCAGCAACACAATCTTGAACGCTCTTCCGCGTGTGCAGCCTATGTAGATGTCGGTTTCAGGAAAATTTAGCAACCTGCGGCAACCTGCAGATTAATTGAGTAGTAGGTGAACATGCATGCCTGCCAGCGTACACACATACATCTATATCATTCTGTATTATATCTATAGCTATATCTACATGCATGCATACGAGCATGCACGCAAGCCAGGCGACAGCAGACCCTGCCAAGACAGTCACGCATATGTACTTGCGCAAAAGTCCTTCAAAACGATGATACAGACACACAAAGAAATATGCATGTACAAAAGCATGCCAAGGCATATTCATCCAGATTTGCTTCCAATTCGAGGTAGCTGTTTGAAGGCTAGTGTCTTCAAGCGAGAGAGCCGCAATGTCATTGTCATGTCAAGTTATGTCTACATTGCCTTTCAGCGATGGTTGAAACTAGGGGCACGGCTCGGAGCCATGATAGGCCGGAACAGAAACAGCTGGTTAGGCCTTGTTCCACGATCGAAGATGCATTTAGTTTGGTATTGCGCGGGGGGGTGCGATTTCGGGGTTTAATGTTCCTGATTCTCAGACCTTTGTTGGACTATGGGCTTGGTGATGTGGGGTTGGCCGATATGTTAAAAAGGTGATGCTCAACTAACTACAGCTTCCCGCTGTTGCCAAACTGCACGGAAAGTAAATGCTAGGCGATCCTCGTGATTTCGAAAGGCTGGGAATAGGGGCGCGATCCAGGGTTGGCTTTCTCGTCTGTCTGCTTGGACTCGGGACTCGAGTGTTTGCTCAGCATTGGGTTTTCGCTTGCCTATCGCTCAAGCGGTCATGTGCAGAGGCTAGTTAGCAGCTGAACCTTGTAACTAAAACTCGCCGCTCCATGAGTTGCAAGTTTATGCTGCAGATGTCCGCCGGTTTCATTCATAACTACTAGGTACCATTCCAAGTGCAGTCTCGTGGCATTCTCGCATATTCGTCCATTAGCATGTGGCCCTCAATTTAGGTTCGGCTTTGATCAAACTTCGCCATACCATACCATTCCCAAATGCCATCCTCTAAAATTCTACAGCATGACAACATACTATGAGCTGTTTGCGCCAGGAGCACTAGGAGCTCTTGGCAGTTTCCCGGGTTTGCAGGGGGCTTCGGTGAATTCTGGGAGTTCTACTTGCTGCACATATCCGGGCCTATCACGGGCCGAAGACCGAGGGGCTCATCACTGACCCTAAGTTGTGCTGATGAAGGGAGGCTTGGGAAGGGATCTACTCGTTTTTACCAGCAGAGGTGAGACATTGCTGAAGTAAGATGGGCGTTTTTCTGCTGGCAGAATACTAAACCAAGACAAACAACTACATGAGGAGACATTGTTTGCACAGCTAAAGGGAGCCAACAGAGTATAGTTTATGGCCTCCCCAGGCTGAAGTGCTTGGTATGGGAATCAAAGACGTCAGAAATGATGTGCCATCAAAACCCTCGAAAGAAGAATCTCGACGATGCCAAAGGCTTCCTGTGTCGGCGACAACCCTGGCATTTCAAGACCTCTTTGCATTTCCTTGAAGGGACTTGCTGGCAGAAGCCGCAGGAGAGGCTTTACGGCTTGGGCTTCAGGGGTCTGAGCATGTACAGGGGTACCATGTCGAAGTGAGGTGTCCGCACGTCACATGCTAAAACCGCATCGCATCAACTTCCGAAGGATTCCGAAGGAGAAGGCCTGTTGCCAACCGACGGGCAGGCAGATCTATGCACCGCTTATGGGCGACGTTCTGGACATCTATCTCCATGAGTCGGAAGCATCTAGAGAATCTAGAGTCTAGAGCCAACCTCAAGGTCACCTTTGCGGTGGGATCCACGAACTTCTGTCAGCAACACCGTTTGAGGAATTGCGATGGGGTCTCATACCCGGTGCTGGAGACAGATGCCGGCCAAAAGTGCGATGGGGATTCTAGGGCTCCTGGACCTATCAACGATACTGTGCTGGACAATCTCAAACTGCTGAAAACCATTCAGGAACCTCTAGGGGCCCCTTTGAGGAGAGGGTTCAACACATGAGGCGAGGTAGAATCAATCGCATCTCGCCCGCTCAGTCCTAGATTGCAAATGACTCTGAACACACGCCATGTTCTTGCATTCCATCTGCATAACCCTGACGATGCTTCTCGCTGAGACAGTTTTTCACGTGGCACAAAGGGGGGCCTACTGAGGATGGACATCCATGAATTCGCCGAGTTTCTGAGCTGAATCGGCACGGAGCCCAGGCGACTTGCCGTGCCAAAGAAGACCGACACTGGGAGTAAGCAATTGGAGCAGGAAGCCACGAGCAGCTTGGAGCTTGCAGTAGACGCTTCGCAGGTTCCGTCGACCCGGACTGCCAGACTGAAGGAGACATGCTCTCGAGGAGTGCATCACAGAAATGGACGGAGTCCTGTGGTTTCGACATTGGGGCCTTCCAGTTCGTACGCCAAGTGCTCTAGCATCATTATCGTGAAACCCTCGTGCCATGACCGCTTCAGTCGCAAAAACGTACAGTTCGCTAAATGCCGCTGCAACACCTGCTTTTTAGCAGCATCCTTCTGCCGAGCTTTCATTGTACCGGTATCCTAGTATATCCTGGGCCCTAGGCACTCCGCCTTACTCCGGCAAACTACACCCTATCGGGATCCTGACAGGTTGAGCACTGTAAAGCTGAGCAGATCGAGAGCTTCATTCGTAAACCAAAGGCGTCATTATGTCGCCGCCATATGTCACTAGCTCCGTACAGCTTCCACAGACTCATCCTGGGACCCGCACCTGTGCCATCCTGTGCCCTTTGATTGTTGAGGCTGGCTTAGACAGCACTTTTTTACCAGGGCCGAGGCAGGAAGCCAAGACGCGAAGTCGAAAATCGGTGCAGTTTACATCTTGTCCCACGACTACGGCTATGGGCTTCCAGCGCGCCCTGTGGCAGTGGCTAACCTTCGTGGCGGCATCGGGCCTGTTTGAAGACTTCCTGTGGATAAGTCAAAGCTATGATGAGATCTCCCAGTGGCTCCAGGACATTGCTACGGATGCCCACAGCTTCGTCCTAGTGGGGATTTTCGGCCCATGTACAAAAAGCACCCGTGCCGAGAAGACATGGCGTGTCTGCCTCGAGCGAGGCCTCGATTCCGGACGGGGAACGAACAGATTGATCAAAGTTGCAAATAGTTGGGAGACGGAAAGAAGAAAAAGGTTTCACTACGTAATCTATGCCGACGACAATGGTGCGTTCACCTTCAGAGCCGACTGCTCTCCTGGTGGCTGTGGCGATATCGGCGCAACACCCCGAAAGAACGAGACAGCGCCGCTGTTCTTCCAACGTTTGCTACTCCAGCATCAGCCGGCTGTCGCGTCCCCGATCATGGGGGATGATTCGGAGCCGGAGAGGATGTTTATTTGCGCATCAATTTTCGACCGGAAGATCACCGCACACCATTGGTCAGTGCGACACCACACTCTTCTTGTGTTGGAAGAGTTCCTGGAAGTGTCGATGCTCGCCGCCACAACTTGTGCGCTCAATGAGCTGGTGGAAGCAACCTACCGTGGACACACCATTCTGTACAGGCCGTTTCAACGAGCAGGGAACGGCACTCGCTACTATGAGCACAGAGGAAACTATATCCGAAATATGCATCCGTGCTTACCGCGCAAAGTTGCGGATGGATGGGAGGACAGCCAACTTGTCTCCTGGATGCGCCCTCAGCTCTCACGTTGTGCTTCCGAGCAGCTCGGGCCATCAGTTTATCTCCAGCGAGGTCGTCCGGTGTACGCCTGTTTGAAACCTCCTCGGAATGTTGATTACTCCAGGTTCCTCCCGTGTACTCCATGGGCTAGGCCGGGGGATGATGACTTCTGCGTGAAGAAGCCGACTGCGAACCGACGCCCAAAGGCAGATGGACAGCGCTTCGTGGACAAGTTTATGCGAGGCATGGTTGGGCATGGATGGCCGGACCTTCCACGGCTGGACCCTACGAAGGCTAGGGATCGCCTTTGCATCTTAGGCCGCCGCAACTACAAAGGCCTCGTTCGACACTATGCCTCCAGACCGGCGGTGAACGGAAAGATAGCTCATCTTCCGGACGGCTTTCAATGCGACGATCCGTGCAATGCTCTGCTGTTCGGGGCAGCTTTGCAATCTCAGCAGCCAAGCCATGTAGTCGCCGCACAACCTGAGTTGCAAGCCATCGACTGGCAAACTGAATGCATGACCAGTTTTCTCCGCTCATGGTCAATGATGGACCTGCTCGGTGGCGGGTGGTCTTCGATGTACGAGCTAATGCAGCAAGAGGTCGAGCGGCGCTCGCAAAGCCAACTTGAAACTCGTGACCCTGTTGAGTTGACAGCTGCCGTCCCACCTGAAATTTGGCAGTCCATCTCGATCCTCGGACGGCAGTCGTGGGGAGATTTTCCTTGTCAGGTAGATACCTTCGTGAGACTCATCCTTCCGGCCGCCGAGAATTCCACGCTCCGTGCTGGACGAGTCCATGCAGCACAGACCTACATCTTCAGCTGCGCGATCGAGTCATGGCTGCACCCAAGCATGGCTTCGGTGTGGGCCGTCATTGCTCTGATCGGAAGGCTTGGTGTGAATATAGAAGTTGCGTCGCTGTGTGATCCAGAAAAACAGTCTTCAGGTGGCTGTGGATTAATTCCCTACCAATACAAACACTTGGGGCCAATCCTGCCGAAATCACCCCTGCCTTTTAAACCCTAATTTGCATTAGGGTGTCCGGAGCAAGAGCAAGAGCAACGCACCAAAAGCAAGAGCAAGAGCAAGAGTAAGAGCAAAGCAGCAGGAAGAGCAGGAGCCAGATCAGGAGCAAGAGCAAAATCCCTGAAAAGCGACAGTAGAGATAAACATGCAACCTTCAAGCACAAAAAACCCACCTGCCGAGGTTTTATTGGGAGTCCCCCCCTTCCGTTTGTTGCCGTTAGTATCAGGGGAAAGGATTAAGCAAGTCATTGCAATATCTCTTACAGTCTGGAAAGCCGGGTTAGAATGAAGGGGTCACAGCCGAAACCAAGTAAGCCCTAGAATGGCCGTAGAACCTTTAGCAGCCAAGACCTTGTGATTGCTTGAGGAAGGGAAGGTGGCTCAGGGTCCTTGCAGAACCTTGGCCCAAAACCGTGCATGTCCACCAGAGGCAAACAACCATGCACGCTTTGGGGACCTCACTTCGCTTGGTGTTTGCTTCGGGCGCGTGTACACTGTGTGGATGACCTGGGTTGGGTTGTCAGTGCCAGAAACTATCCTTTCGACCTGTGTAGTCTCCAGCTGCGGTCCTCGACATGTCAACCTTGCAGGAGCAGCTCTTCAAATTTCAAGTTTGTCCTGCATCTGAAGGGCGCAGGTGCAAACATGGAAATGTCATCGAACCTATTTGCTGTGCCAGGTTGCAAAAGAGGCTGGCGACGGAGCCGAGCAAGGTGTTGGCTCAGATTTCCGTGGTGGGAGTTTGAGCATGAGGGCCTGGTTTGAGCATGAGGGCCTGATGTTTCAATACACATATGATATTGAAATACATAGAAACCATCACCAGTGCTTGGTACTCCCTATATCCCTGCCTTTTGCAGACAAGCCAGTTGCGTAATACTTAGCAGAAACCTGCTACTAGCAGTTGTCCTTTCCGGGCATACGACTCGCTCCTCAGCCACACGCCGCAACTACCAGCATGATGAGTGCATCTGCGAGTCAAATTGACATCACAACTGTGCTCAGCTGTTATCCCCGGTCGACAAGGGGGGTATGATTCCACAGCATCGTGCCAGTGCTTGACTTGCATTGAAACTGTTGTCCCTTCTTCGGACGTCTTGTTTTAGCTGTGTACGGCTCCGTGTCACTGCAGTTGAAACACAGTGTTCTGTACAAGCACGCTCAGTATTGCTCACCGCTTACGTTCGGACACCTGACGCCAGCTCATTGTCGAACCAGGTCCAAACGATGTCCACGATTTCGCTGCCCGGCTGATAGTGGAAAATAAGAACATGTCACGGCTCAGCGAACGTTGCCTGTCCGAGCCTGCCCCCGCAAGCAGGAGAGCCTGCAGCGTATCCCGCCTATTTCCGCCGCCCCCCCCCCCTTCCTTACGGTGCAGCCAGACATCCTGCATTTTGTCTGTAGCGCTCCGATGTTCGGGCTTGTGCAACTGACCCTTGCAACTTCGATTCCAAGTCCAGTCAGACTGGAACGCGAGAACCTTGATCTCGCCGAGTTCTCAAGTAAGTTCGTCTGCAACCTTCGAACTAACCGCGCCAGGGAAAGCAGGGTCTTAACTTAGCGCAACCTGTCGTGGAGAAGAAGCTGTGTTGGCAACGGATGATAAGGTTTGATTTTCATTCCCGGCAGTTTCCTGGCGGTTCATACAAGAATTGATTAATTTCATTGCTTCGGGCTAAGCTTCAGTCTGACTGATGACCTCTTCAATGTCATACTGTGCATCGTCTGATGGACCGAGTCTCACAGGGGGGCCATGCAACTTATTGCATTATACCAGAAGTGCACAAGCTACCGTATGCTGGTCATGGTGTCAGACTTAATCTGAGCTGTCAGAAAGAAGTCCAACACAAAATTCCGCTACAGAATTGCTGCCTCCACTGCCACCATGTTGCTTGGTGTCGCTCATTATCTGCAAGCACGGCACAAGCACTGCATAGTTTTGCATAGTACAGTACAGTAGCGCTAGCAAGGCTAGCAATCAGACATTTGCACTGACGGAGCTATGCATGCAGCTGCCCTGGTTCTCGCACTTCCGTGATCGTGAAAATGGGGAAGCTCGGGTCCAGGTCGTTTGTCGCAGTGGTGCAAAGGAATCTTTCAGCAGTGGCTTTGACTGCCTTTGACATCGGGAGGGATGCGACAGGCACGAACATGAAGCCCTTGGATGTTAGTCTGACGGCGGCGCAGGGTCTCATCGACAACATGGACTACATCCTCCCGGTGCATGATAGTGACCAGCTGGATGTGAACCAGGCGCCCTCTGCTTGCGCCATGTTCTTGCCTGTCTCCTAGGAATGGGTGGACATTCCCAAGATACTGAAATGGACGGACTTCATTCGGCAGAATACAACACGTTCTGTGCTGCTCCTGCCAGAGGCCATCTTCTTCCGATGGAACCTGTTGGAGCTGCTTTTGCACTGGGTGCAGTTTCGGGGCGAGTGGCTCGACCACATGCCCTCGTTTACTTCTCGCTTGCTTTGGCAGCTCCGTACCTGCATCTTATGGGGACTTGGGTCTCGCTTCGGCCAGATTTGAAGCTCGAATGTCAACTGAATTATAAAACACACGTTGCAGACAGTGAACAGGTTCTACACCTGCGCACTTCCGTTACGCGTCTTCGTTTTGCACATCTACCGGGTGTTCTGGCCCTTGCTCTACTGCAGCCTGGCGGTGAAGTATCAAGTGGCAGAACCATATGGCACAATTTCCGACGCGGACCTCAGCAGTTTTAGCACACGAGCTTTGGTGAAGAGGGTGGCACTGCTGCAGTCTTTACCAGCGTGTGATCGGGGATGCTTCCTGGACCTGTCAGCTGCATTTGCTGCCCTGGCACTTCAAGCAGGCCAGAGACAGCAGGAGTCTGAGCTCTACGGCTATTTGAGTGACACGCAGCTCATGCTCCAGTCGGCTTTCTGTGAGAGCATTATCGATTGCGTTCGGACCCGCTCAGACGCAGAGCTCCTGCGCACGACCTGTGGCTTTCTACACAGGGTGGCAGAACTGCCACTTTTACGACATAGGCGCTTTCAGATCCTCGCAAATGCAGGGGACGCCTTAGGACGCACTGAGTTTGAAGGCTCACGTGGTGCAGCACGTCTTGCCACTTTGCAGAACGACGACCTGTGGTCACGGCCTTTTCGGCTAAGCCCTGCTGACGAGATTGAAGCTGCATGCGTTGACAAGATGGACATGGATCCGATAAGTCCAGCACGAGCCTTGAGCCTCTACAACATGCTCAGCACCGTCGGCCAAGTCCTTTCCCGATTTGGTGTGGAATGGTTTGCCTCGCATGGCACGCTTTTGGGAGCCATTAGGCATGCGGGTCAGGTTCCACATGATTGTGACCTGGACATATCCATATTTTCTCCGGATCTACACATGCTGCGAAATGCATCCGTAATGCTGGCATTGCAGCGGAATGGCTACCAGCTTGACTATTTACCAGTGCAAAACTTGTTCACAGTTTGGCGCGTTGGTCAGCACACGGGAACAGAGGTGCGTGGTGCACGTGCCGTCAACAGCATGAACATGTACCGTTCCGCTTTGCACATCTTCGTGCTGTTCGACTTCCACGAAACAAAGCAATGGAAGTATGAAACAGACAGGTTGAAGCACCGTGGCTGGATCATGTCAGAGAAAGACTTGCTTCCATTGAAGCTGCGTCCTTTTGGCGACACATCCATTCCAGTTCCTGCGCAGCCGGAAGCCTATTTGGACCGAATGTATGGCCAAGACTGGAACTCAACTGTCCGCTGCATGACAGCGCTGCAGGAGTACCCCTACTACGAGCCAACTCCCTTGACCGTTGCTGGTATGGCCCAGCCAACAGGACCACTGGAGCAAGTTTTCTACGAGTGAAAAGAATTTGCCTTACCAAAGCTGCACGAGACATGCTGTCGCAACTTGATGGGACCCACAGGGCCGAAGAGTCACGCCTGTTTCCGTGACGTAAGTTCGCTCTGGGTTGTTACTCTTTCTGCCCAGCAACCTGAACTCCTTGGAACCTACCCACTTTAGATCCTACCGGAAAACCTTGTACTGTTGAGCCTCATGCCGCATCTCGGCCGTTTGCATTCAACCAAGGCCAGTTCCGGATTCTCCCGCCCAAGGCAGTGGCCTAGCAGACAAAGCTTCCACTCTCTGTATGTCCGGTAGCACGATGAGGTGAAGGAAACCCTGAACGCCTTGAGACTTGACCCCTGCCGATCTTGAAGGAAAGGGTTAGGTTCAGGTTTGCATTTCCGGTTTTTGAGACGGGTCAGCACCGCCTGTTCTGTTGTTTTGGACATCTTACGGTGCCCCGCACGTTGCGGCAGTACGAAAGAGACTTATGTGGCCTTCACGAGCATCGTGAGGCTTTTTTTGGCTCTCCAGGCGCGGGGCACAGGGCTAGCGCCTGAGGCTACGAAGTCTATAGCTAGCAGTGGCGCACCTAGCCAGGCGGGAGGCAAACAAATGGCACACATGCATTGAGGGGCCGATAAGCAAGCAGCTTTTTTTCGCCAGGTTTGCCAGTGTTCGTGTAGCCCTGCCTCTTGTGCTTGATCGAAATTTTAGATGGAGTATTGGGTTTCTTGGTCAATGGTCACGAAAAACGTACGTAAAACTTGTTTCAACGACCTAATGAGAGCATGCCACCGGGAAAGGAATTGCTACTGGACTGCTGAGCAATATGAGCCACTATGAGACAGCTCAGCGCAAGAGGAGGCGTCGTTCTCCACATCGTTGTGTGGGGTTTTAGTTGTCGGGGTTCACACGCCCAACTGCCACAAACGACACAGACGCAGACCCACAACCCATACACCCACACAACATGCACCCCGCAGATCTTATGTCACCCTGCGCTACAGGCCAATGTCTACCTAAAGCCTGCGAATTGGCAGGGGGCTTCCACTGTTGCATGCTGCAGGCTTGCCGTTGCTTCCGTTCTGAGGCCACCGGCCTGACCGTTTCACGCACTGACAGACGTCAGGCCGTCCGATCAAAATGTGCTCTCGGTCACGATTTACGTCAGGTTGGCAGGTTGCTGCGGCAAGAATGATGGGACCTGGAGACATGTCACGATAACGACGATAACCATCTGGCTAAAGTGGCTACGGGCTACGGGGGTATTGACACGTGGCAGCACGGCCAAGTCCACCCACTTTGATGGAAAAAGTATAGGTAAGGTAGAAAGTCCAACAACACACCTGCATGAAGTAATTGAAGAGCGAGTCCTCATTTTGCTGAGGCTGAGGCCCACACCTGGGTGGGTCGTGCATATAATTGTTAATTGTGTACGAGGGGGGTGGAGGGGGCTCGTCACAGAATGTATTCACGTACGCATGAACGGTTGGGTTTATGGATATGTATGTCACTCCGTCTGTCTGTTTGTGTGTCTGTCTGTCTGTCTGTCTGTCTGTCTGTCTGTCTGTCTGTCTGTCTGTCTGTCTGTCTGTCTGTCTGTCTGTCTGTCTGTCTGTCTGTCTGTCTGTCTGTCTGCGCGTTTGCATCTACGTACCATTGTATATATGGTGCAAGGCCCCTCCTCCCCCCCCCTGGTGAGGGTTCCCCCCTTGTCCCTCCCACGAAGATGGCGATCATGATGCGCTCCTCCGGTCCCTAGGCTCCGGAATGAAAGTCATTCAAGCACATGCTCGGACTGACTTTTAACGCGCGCAACCGAAGCGCGGCGACGCGGGACCACCTTTGAATGCACCGTGCATGTCTGCAATGTCTGCAATCATGCATGTCACGTACATAATTTTGTTAGGTACATAGGTATGTATATGAGCATTGATCTAAAGGTCCTTGTGTGGGGGGATTATATAAAACGGTTTTAACATGTGGAATAGAGTGTCCGCGAAAGATCCGCGATGGGTCCGCGAAAGGAAAACAATAATCCGCGAAAGTTGTTGTGTAA